CTTCAGGAGGGATGGACCTTCCTAGCCTCAAATAACTGAGAGAAGTCACTTCTGCCAAGTAGGGAATTATCTATTTTCCCTATACGAATAAGGAGAAAGTATTGTATTCAAACATTGTTACCAGTCAGGCATCCATATTCAACAATAGCAAGACCTCTGCAAAGCTGGAAATCTGCTAGAATCACAGCTTTATGAAAATTGTTTTATAATTAGCACAAAGTGTTTTATGTAAAGCTGCAAAACAGGGAAAAGGTTTTCACACAACAGAAAAGTCTAAGGGTGCAACTTAACAGGCAACTGAGCCAATCTAATTGTTTGTGGCATGAGAAGAGCACACTTGTTTGCTCTGAACCTCATCAGACCCTTTCACAGTTTATTTGAGGCATTAAGAGAGCAGAACACTCCACAGTTTTTTGCTGAGTGAGGTTATTTTTTGGTCATGTTGGTGAACTAATGCAGCTCGGAGACAAGCACTGGGGTGTGCAAGTTCAGTGGTGTTTCCATCATTTCACTTCATCGTTATGGTGGAGGGGAGGAATTCAGCTCACCCGCGTTTCAAGAAACCGCAGCACGCGTGACTGAGCCAACCCAGTGGCTCATTTTTGTTTGTCCCTCCCTGCCTCCATTCCCAGACTCAGCGGGATGCCCCACGCACTTTTCCCACTTTCATTAGCTTTATCAGCTGATTTGGTCACCTGAATCTCAGACAGATTTAGCAGACACTAGGAGGTGTGTTCCTTGAAGAAGGAATGAATGAGCTCTGCCTGCTCTCACAGTACGTATCATGCAAGACAGCAGCGGAGTTCCCAAGAGCTGGGGTGCATTCCTTCCCATCAACTGCACCCATGCGTTTGGAGACCATCAACAGCAGACAGCAAATTTGCACACAGAGAAAACACTCCTTCAGCAAGCACTGTGCAGTGGAGAGAGTTTTATATTCAGAATGCAACAATTCTATGAGACTAAATTGTCAACCATCACCTTAATCCAGAATTTCAGACGGTCTTTTCAACTCTCCGGACCTACATCGTAGAGTGCTCTGATTTTAAAGACAAAAGCCATCACCTCCGTTCAGTATTCTGCTGAAAGTTAGTGTAGTGAAGGCCAGCTAGATCCAACACGCCCACTGAAGACCATGTTATTATATTCTTCATCAGTCAAAGGCTCGTGTATATCTGCAGTTGGCACAGGACAATGGAGAGGTAGCGATCCCATGAAGGAATGGTTAGAATGAGACGAAAGTTAAATGAAAAGTGAGGACTTGGATACCAAAGCACCACTGTACTTGGATCTAGAAGATCACACCCCTCTTTAGGGGTTCCCAGATGAGGACCCAGATTTGGGAGCGCCACGCTTCACTAGCCAAGCTTTTCCTTCTCCCTGTATACATCAGAGTTTAGAAGCAAATGTGGACACTATCTCCCCCTGCCCCAGGGGAAAAAAAACCCCAAACTCTATTATCCTACCTCAAGGAGGAAGACAGATATATTCCAAACATGCCCAACAGCATCAAGACAAGAGTAAGCTACTGACAACGAGCACAGCTGGTGCACAGCACATGCACACAACAGCTCACTGTGCGAGCTGCCAGCTTTGTTCCCCAGAACAACCCTATCCATCAGTCACTGGTGTATCATGGTCATACGAGTGCATCAGAGCATGCCTCTCTGCCTCAAGCTGAGGACGATGTCCTACCTAAAACCACACCGAAAAGTGCAAGTACAAGAGATGTAGAAGTACTGCGAAATACGAGGTATTCAAACAATTTTTAAATGAGCCAGCTTGGCTAACAGAAGCATATTAGCAGGATACAGTAAATCTGCTCTTTGCTGCTGCAGCAGGACTGTTTCAGCACTCAGGCCAGCCAGTTCACAGGCTGCTCAAGCACGCTAACACTATTCCACTGCGGAAACACACTGAATTACTTGCTTACAGAAAGGAAGCGTGCTGCAATGCACAGAGCTGACGCCAAGATCTCCAAGTATCCACCGGTGGACTATCTCACCTGCTGTCCTTCCACACTGTGATGTGCTTACCTCTTCCACACTGCTGGATCAAACTGACTCCATGCCAGTCCTTGACCCATTCTTATACCTTATCAATTTGTGGGGCCTATGCTGGCACTACTCATCCACCTGACGCATTAACAGAGATGCCAAAATGCACATGGCATGTGTGGAATAAGGAAACGATGAAGGAAAAGATGATAGAGGAAAAGAAAAAAGGGGATGATGCAGAAATAAAAAATACGTTGTCAAATAGCAACCCGACCATTCTGTAACTCCAGATCACTGGCAAGGAATCGGTAAGGAGACAGGTACAGAATAGGGAAAAATCACACTGTCGTGTGAAGATGTTATACCAAGAATACTCTAGAGGGCACAGCACCCTCCAAATTACCTGATAAACAGTTAAGAACTTTAAATGACACTTCATCATTTTCAGAACACAAAACACCTGAACTTGAAATACAAAAGCTATGCACCATGCAATAGAATAGCTAAAAGTCCACTCTCTCCTGTATCAGGATTACATACCCAGTTTGTCACACCCTTCAAAATTTATCCCATAAAACTTATTAGTACTGCAAGTAATGAGAATGCAAGACTCAAGATAGGCCATGGCGTCAGGTTCCCCCTTCGTTTCTGTTAGCTGCTTTCTCAGAGCAAGTCTGTCAGTTCAGGTGAACCCACAGCCAAGAGCCAGCCCTGCTGCCAGGATCCCAGCCCCGGGCCAGCCCACGCACCCTTCCTGAAGGGCTGCCTGGAGAAGGCTGCTGGCTCACCGGGGACCCGAGGTTTTAAGAACTATGAGAAACATGCTGTTAACTATGGAAAGTTAACAAAGCTTGGATCAGGAATGGTGTGGCCAGCAGGACCAGGGCAGGGATCGTGCCTCTCTGTTCGGCACTGGTGAGGCCGCACCTCGACTGCTGTGCTCAGCTTTGGGCCCCTCACCACAAGCAGGACATGGAGGGGCTGGAGTGTGTCCAGAGAAGGGCAGCGAGGCTGGGGAGGGGGCTGGAGAACCAGTCTGATGGGGAGCGGCTGAGGGAGCGGCTGAGGGAGCTGGGGCTGCTCAGGCTGGAGAAGAGGAGGCTGAGGGGAGACCTTCTCGCTCTCTGCAGCACCCTGACAGGAGGGGGGAGTGAGGGGGGGTTGGGCTCTTCTCCCAGGTAACCGGCGACAGGACGAGGGGCAATGGCCTCAAGGTGCATCAGGGGAGGTTCAGATTGGATATCAGGAAAAATTTCTTTCCTGAAAGAGTGGTCAGGCGTTGGACCAGGCTGCCAGGGGCAGTGTGAAGTCCCCATCCCTGGAGGGGTTCAAAACCGTGTGGATGTGGTACTTAAAGACATGGTTTAGCAGGCCTGGGGGTGTTGGGGTGACGGCTGGACTCAATGATCTTAGAGGTCTTTTCCAACCTTAATGATTAATATCATCCTACAGGCCAGTCAGCTCATGAAGATTGACCAATGCAGTTCAAGTCCATAATAAAATTCAGGCCATGATGGATTAGATGTGGAACTAAGATAAAGTCACACAAGCAAGCCAGAAAATGGCAATCAATAGACAAATAGCTGTTGATTTCCTAGTAATTAAGGATTAGTGTTAGTTAAAATTGCTAAAGGGCTTCTGCCCTGTGTGACAGGCCCAACACTGTTCTCTGACTTTGTACGCTATAAGTTAACAATTAAATGCTGAATATTTGTATTATTTAAATCACAAAAAAAGTTGCTCTTTCGTCTTTGTGGACAAAACAGCAGCAGCTCAGGCCCCGTGAGTTGCCTCAGCTGATGCTGATGTCTCCTGCAAGAAATAACCCTTCAATTTCTACCTTTCAAGTTATTGCAGACCTGATTTAGAAAGCGAATAAATTATCTTTTCATATGTCCGTAAGCCATTAGCTTACAACCCCATTTCTGTATTTGACATTTTAGTTTGCTGTTAGATTTAAATTAAAGCATGATCCATACAATGCAGATAAGCTAGTTTATTGCGGGGGGGAAGCGTAGGCCATAGAGATCCAAAACTGAAGGGAGAAAAAAATACTAACGTTCATTCGCTGTAACAGGTAACAGAACAAGTTCCCTAAAATTGCACTCTTCCATTGCATAAGGAAAATTGACTCAAGAACTTGCTCCAAAAGCCTTTCTGGGGGGGCTCTGCTCGGCCTCGGGGCGCTTCTGCAGCCCTGTTATGCGCAGCGGTGTGAAAACCAGCGTTACGGAGCGTACGCGTAGCCGGGGAGGGCTTTTTGTAATGCAGACTGCTGTTGCTCCTTTCCCTTAGGATAAGGAGAAGAAGAAGAAGGAGAGTATCTTGGACCTCTCCAAGTACATCGACAAAACCATCCGGGTGAAGTTCCAGGGTGGGAGAGAAGGTGAGCTCGGGCCGGGGATGGGGCCTGCGCCCCGTTTTGGTGTATTTCCTCGCTCTTTGCTTGCCGGCTTTCATCTCCTGCGTGGGCACGCTGCTTTCTGTCACAGAGAGGGGATGGCTAGTGGGTGCTCCTGTTTGTTACTGCTTGGTGGTGCTGGTGCGAAGCTGATCTTTAACGTTAATCCCCTGGCTGCGATTTTATCTTTATGTGCACCTTTTATTAGTTGTCTTCAGCTGTCTTGTTTCTTTTGCCTGCTTCTTCACATTGCGAGGGTGCACTGAAAGCAGTGAAGAAACACACACGTTACGATTAACACACCTGTCATCTCTCAATGTACTAAATGTGTCTGGAGTTCAAAGATAGTTTCAATATATTTCACCATGGCTTTTTGTTGCTTCCGAGGCTCTCACTTTGCTGTTTCCCCCCTCACCCTCTCCCTTGCCATACCTGCAGCTGTCCAGCCCAGTGCAGCTGATGGTGCTGCCTGCAGAGCGGTTGTTTGTCTGAAAGTTAACGGCGTGCTGCGTGGGAGATGCTTGAGAGAAGCTTTTGGAAAGCAAACTTGGTTTGCTTTTAAATAGCTCTTTTAAGACTCCACTGGGACCTGGTGTTTATGAGGTTTGGAAGTTACTTGAACTCTTTATGGATAAGTGTGTGTGTGGGTGTTGTAGTTTCTGGGCAGTTGACAGTTTCATAGAATCTGTTGGGTTAGATTTTTTTCTCAAAAAATTCCCACCAAGTTCCTTTGTCATTTTCTACAACACCTGGGGTTGTAAGAGTCTCTGCTTTGATTTGAGCTGTTAGCAATGACAGTAATGCTGGTAATCAACAAGTATCTCTCACACTGGGAGATCATTCTGTGTAGTCTTGCGCTTTATTTGGTGACCTGTCTTGGGGAATCATCTTCTGGTTTAGGACAAAGTGCTTGTCTGTCTGCACTGTCTGCAGTGCATTCCTCTGAAGGCAGTGCTTATGCCAAACAGATTGTGTTCCAGGAGAGCAAATGGAAGATGGCTTTTCTGAGGAAAACACATCAAAATATTAGGCTTGCTGCATTTTTATTTTTTTTTGTCATACCTCTTCACTAAGGGTATTTATTCGGTTTTGGGGTTGTTTGGGTTTGTTTTTTTGTGGTATGACTTGTATTGATTTGTTATGCTGAAGTATTCTTAAAATTACCCTGAAACTGGCTGGAAACAAAAATATTACTGTCTTGAAGAGCATTTTGAAGAATTGGTTGAAAAACCTGTGAGTTTCTGTTGGCATAACAGAAACCGGGTTCTCATGCATTTGGACTTTGAAGAGGACACTTCAATATCTCTGGTCTCGTTTGCTTGCCAGCCTTTCTTGCAGGAGGGCACAGAGCTGGAGAACCGAATGTGTCCTTCACACGTTCTTGTGTTGCTGTATACCTGGTTTTGGTCTCTAATCATTGTTTTGTATGTGGTTTTCCACAGCAAGTGGTGTCTTGAAAGGATTTGACCCTCTTCTGAACCTTGTGCTTGATGGTACCATTGAATATATGCGAGGTAAGTAACATGCTGTCTGTGTAAAGTGCTTTTTTTTGTTGTTGTTCCCCAAGAATAATTTTCTTGACAAAAATCTTATAGCTCTAAGTAACTGGAAACTGTAGGTTGACATCATCTGAACCGAGACGTGTTTGTGATAACTAAGGTGTAAAGAAAGGGATGAGATAACGGAAGTTAGATTAAGCACATTCCCTGTGGTGGAACGTTCTTGGTAGTCCTTGCTTGAGCTTCTCTGGCTCGGCCAATCCCAAGACCAATCCAGGCTGGGTGGAGAGTGGATTGAGAGCAGCCCTGAGGAGAAGGACCTGGGGCTGTTGGTTGACAAGAAGCTCAACACGACCCGGCAATGTGCGCTGGCAGCCCAGAAAGCCGAGCGTCCCCTGGGCTGCATACCCAGCAGCGTGGGCCGACGGCGCGGGAGGGGGTTTG